CGTAAATATTTCCTCACATACATCCATCCACTGCACAGAAGATTTGTACAGTTTCCGTATAAACGTATTGCTGATCAACACGACTTCGACGATCTTGTTGTGATTACGCGTGTTGATTCGTTTTATTTGATTATTTACGGAATGGCTCAAAACATTCAGGTAGAGAAACACAAAAATGACTTAGCTGCCATCATGATCACATATCCATCAACACATGGCGTTTTCGAGTCGGCAATCGTGGACGTTTGTAAGAAGATTCATGAGAACGGTGGACAGGTCTATTTGGATGGTGCGAATCTGAACGCTCAGGTTTTTGCTTATAGATTGCCAATTTTGGTCATCGCCTATTTTCGGCAACTGTGCTGTTTTGTGTTTTTGAATTTTTCAGTTATCAGTTTCGTTCTATCAAAATGTTTATTGAATTGACACTTTGGTAGAGTATAGTGTCAAAAATCTAATTTTATGGCTGCTTGAGTGCAATTTCCCCCACTTGATTGTAATTATGATAACGACGCTATCTATGCGTGCAGGTCGGATTGTGTCGTCCAGGTGACTACGGCAGTGATGTATCTCACCTGAACTTGCACAAGACATTCGCGATACCGCATGGCGGTGGTGGACCTGGAGTTGGTCCAATTGGAGTGTAAGCGTTTCGAGGCGTTCTTTTTTTTNNNCCTTCCAGGCCATTGTGTAATGCCAGTGAACGGGCGCGACGTTGGCGCCGTGAGTGGCGCCCCACATGGATCAAGCTGGTTCGTGTGATAAGATATTTTTTTGGAAATTTCATACTGACTCAATTTTGCATTTATTTTATCATTCAACGAATTTTTTTCGCAAAATTGTTAACATCATCGATGCTGCTATTTCAGTATAATGCCAATAACATGGGCTTACATTCGCATGATGGGTCCGGATGGTCTCAAGGAAGCCACACAGACAGCAATTTTGAACGCAAATTACATGGCTAAACGTCTTGCACAAGGCTATAAAATTGTTTACAGGGTAAACTGAATTACCTACTGCTGTTCAGCTCAAAATCACTTTATTCAAAACGAATCTGATTAATTCATTCATTTCAACAACGAAATTTCTGCGTCAAGTTTCTAGCTACAAATTTTCATGAAAATGGTTCAGTTTCCGGCAGGAAATTGTAGCTCATGAAAATTTGTAGCTAGAAAATCAGAAGAAATTCTCCAACAAAAGCCACAAGCCAGATATAAAATCATCGTCCCTTAACAGTAACATATTTGTTTACGATTGATTCCCAAGTAAAAGCAAGCACACTCATAAATTTCATTGAGTGAATAGAATGTTTAAAAAAGGAGTGAATATTCAAGGATGAGCAAGGTTTGGTAGCGCACGAGTTCATTATAAACTGTAAAGAGTTCAAGAAGACGGCTGGTGTT